TTCAGAGACCCCCTCCCCAGACGCCCGACGCTCCCGACACTTCGTACCCTCAACATCATACTCGGACCCTCCCTCCAAGGCTCCCGCCAATCTCCCTCGCCACGCCTTTCCACCATCTACTTCAAAACCACAACAAGCCTCCCCTGCTCGCACTTTCGGTGCCAAACGCCCCCTCTGAATCCAAAAAATAAAACTTTTCTTTCCTTTCTTGCGCCCATCCTGGCTCGGAACACCTGGCGCCGCTGCAGCTTTTCCCCATGTATTTCTGATCTGATCCAAAGCGACCGTGCCGGACGTGGCCCCAGGTCCCGTTTTCACAGCCCACTGCGCCCGACGCTCCCGACACTTCGTACCCTCAACACCATACTTGCGCCCTCCCTCCAAGGCTCCCGGCAATCTCCCTCGCCACGCCTTTCCACCATCTAACTCAAGACCAAAACGAGCCTCCCCTGATCGCACTTTGGGTGCCAAACGCCCCCTCTGAATCCCTATTAAAAAAATTAACAAAGAGACTTGTCTTCTCGCACCCTCCCTCCACGGAGACCAAGACGAGCCTCCCCTGCTCACACTTTCGGTCTCAAACGCTCCTTCTGAATCCCTATAAAAAAAAACTTTTCTTTCCTTTCTTGCGCCCATCCTAGCTCCGAATACCACCTGGCGCCGCAACAGCTTTTCCCCATGTATTTTTGATCTGATCCAAAACGAGCGTGCCGGACGCGGCCCCAGGTCCCGTTTTCACAGCCCACTGCGGTTTAGCTGTTATCTCAGCAGCGGCCACAGAACCATGGTATGCCGCAGGCTCCCACTCTCTGGCCGCCCTACATACACAACTTCAGAGACCCCCTCCCCAGACACCCGACGCTCCCGACACTTCGTACTCTCAACATCCAACTCGCACCCTCCCTCCAAGGCTCCCGGCAATCCGCCTCCTTTCCACCATCTAATTCAAGACCAAAACGAGCCTCCCCTGATCGCACTTTCGGTGCCAAACGCCCCCTCTGAATCCCTAGAAAAAAAAAGAAACTTTTCTTCTCGCACCCTCCCTCCACGGAGACCAAAACGAGCCTCCCCGAAAAAAGACAGAGAAAGAAAGAGAAAGAAAGAAAGAGACACCGGGCCTCGTGGCCGCAGCGGCAGCGTTCCACAGACCGTAGCCCCACTGCCTCCGCAGCCGCAGCTGCGGCTTTCCACAGACCGCAGCCCGACTGCGTCGGCATCCCTGCCGCTGCTGGGAAGATCCTAGCCCCGAACACCTGATCCAAAACGAGCCTCCCCTGATTCTGGCCCAAAACGAGCCTCTCCTGCTGCGCGTCTGTCTCACTCTAATGTCTGTCTCTCATACCTGCAGCGTGAGCCTCTCCTGCACCTGTCCCCCGAACACCTGACCCCGCCACAGCTTTTCCCAATCTAAGTTCTGGCTCCAAACGAGCCTCGAATCCTCGGACTTTGGGGCAAACGGGGCGTCTGAATCCCTGGAAAAAAAGTTTTCTTCAATTTTCTTCCACTTGTCTCGCCCAGCCTGGTCCCCAACACCTGGTCCCGCCACAGCTTTTCCCCATCTAGTTCTGGCCCCAAACGAGTCTCGAATCCTCAGACTTTGGGGCCAAACGGGGCGTCTGAATCCCTAGAAAAAAAAAGAAGTTTTCTTCCATTTTCTTCCACTTGTCTCGCCCAGCCTGGTCCCCAACACCTGGTCCCGCCACAGCTTTTCCCCATCTAGTTCTGGCCCCGGGGCGTCTGAATCCCTAGAAAAAAAGAAGTTTTCTTCCATTTTCTTCCACTTGTGTCGCCCAGCCTGGTCCCCAACACCTGGTCCCGCCACAGCTTTTCCCCATCTATTTCTGGCCCCAAACGAGCCTCGAATCCTCGGACTTTGGGGCCAAACG